AAAATAGGCTTCTTTTCAAGGGTAATTTTGCAAACTAAAAAAGGAAGGGGGGGTGAGATTCAATTCAAGATGGGCTCTTTCTTGATATTAGGCCCATTGGGCTTCTATTTGAGGTTTTATAATTTACAATTACATAATTTTTTTTATAAAAATCATAATCCTTCAATTTTAGCAATTCAATGGTTATCAAACAAACATACTGTACTAGATATTAATCTTAATTTTATCTTAAATTAGAGCATCTTAGACCTTGATCTTTGGCTTATAACACCTTGTTATGTAGCAAGGCCATGGATTCACTTACCGAGACATCATGACTCGATGTTTGTTGTTGAACTTGATGTGAAGGGGATCCTTGTTTTGACTGCAAGAAAAACAGGCATAAAAAGAGGTCGTCTTCAACTTGTGACAAAAAAGAAAAATAACAATACAGTACATTACAGAATTATTAAGTACCATAATTTCTTATGCACTGTGATTTTAAAAGTATCTTAAAGTGAAAACCCTGTTTATTTAATTACAACACAAATCTTTATCAGTAGCGGTGCCAGTGTCTGAAATCTGGAGAGGGGGGGGGGCCCAGTGAGGGACAAGGTAAGATTTTAGGGGACAATACTGTATGTTTTCACCATATAAGACTGGATACAATTTAAGTTAAGAGATAAGGGTCATTCTGACTCAAATCATGTGAGCCCCCCTTGGATTTTCCAGAAAAAAAAAAATTCTAACAATACCTTGATATGTCAAAAGAAAGAATCAAAAATTTCAGGTTCAATTTCAAAGCGGTTTTTAAGTTATGACATTTTGAAATTTAGGTACCACGCCCCCTTTTCATGCCGGAAATGGTTCCTTTAACTTTGTACGGTTTTTATTAAGGTTTCTCTGGATATAATGAAGATAAAAAGTTGAAAATTGCATTATAGACTGAAATTTGGCCCCTCTTTCAAGAAAAACCATTGAAATTTTGGTGGTGTTCCCCCACAAAATCCCCCAAGGCTTTGTGCAAAAAGATTTTCATTTTTTCGGTATCTTATCATCCTTTAAAGTAAGGAAGTCAAAATGAAACATGTGATGAATATGTTTATACTACTACATATTTAAATGTTTGCAAGGTAATTAGAGCAATAATGAAGGTTTGAGGAGGTCCCGAACATGGTTGCAGGACCACTGACCCTAAAAATGCCACCTACTTTGACTGATCGGATGACCCTGTTTACACTTAATATTAATTATGAAATTTATACCAGTACACAGATACACATATCATCATTGTAAAAGTAGAAAGTTTAAACTTTGACAGATTTCAGAGTATTATAAATATCTGGTCAATAGATCACATCATAAATATGTCAGTATTTGTGACTTTATCATTATGATCATTGACCACTATGATTTTTATTTGGCTTTTGTTCATGAGTATGCCCACAAATAAAAATGTACAATAACATAATAGACATGCACGTAGTAAGTTGTACGCACTTTGAAGCAAAGTATTTTTAATGGATCTACTGACCGTTCTACTAAAAATGTTTAAAAATCGGGCTGAGGTATGATTATGGCACTTTCAACTGGGAATGGCACTCTCTGATTTTGTAATAATTTTGACTAGGCCTAGGCACTATAGGGAGTTTGCTTGAGGGAGTGTGGGAGGCGATCCTGATTTCGGAAGACTCCCACGAGTTGCGGGAGATTCAAACTTTATGAGGGCCAGTTTTCTGCGCAAATTTTAGTCAGTTTTTGAGATATCCTACATACAAATAAGCTAGGCATAGAAGTAGTACAAGTATGTTACTTTGAATATCACAACGAACTACACTAGGCCTTATAAAGCCCTAGGTTAGGTAAAGGCCTATGCATTGGAGGATGCGACCTGAACCTAGCCCTAGCCTACGTTGAAGGAAGTTTCCGCGTTCCTAGCCGGGCCAAAGCCAACTTAGAGAGCCTAGGCTGGGCGAATGCTGGGCTGGCCCTAGGGCCTGTAGGTAGGGCATGGCCTAGGCC